CTTTTACGTCGCCCTCGGGCTGTTTCTGGGCTTGCTGGGAGAGCGCCGAGCGCGAGTGGAACTGGCGAGCATATACGGACGATGTTCGGAACAGGATGTCCCGTGGTAAGAGCTGGCTCCGCAGGAACAAGAGAGGGGAAGATTGCAGATTCTGGTGGCTGGCCTGGCGGGTCTGCATCGCCGATGGCCGCACAGGCAAGGGCGCTGTGGATATCCGTCTATATGCCGCCGCTCGGCCGTACATGCTCGCTGGTGAAGCGGCAAAAGACTGCAGGCCGCTCCATCTTGCCCGCGCGACGAATGTGCTGGCGGTGGCGGGCTTCATGCTCTGGCAGGTGAACGACGGAAGCGCAGGGAGGGATTGGACAATGTATGGTCGCCCCAGAAACGGTGGATTGAGGGTGGGAGCAGAGAAGGCAGTTGAGATGGCTTCCGCTTCCACGACGGGCGATGCAGGCGGCCAATTTCTTCGGGAGGCAAAGGCGCACGGACCGGGTTCCCGCAACTTCTTTTCAGGTCTGCCGACCTCGGGAGTCGTCTCGAGCACCGCACCGCACCGCACCGCACCGCGCCGCACATCACATATCCAACCATTGGCCGCACGCAATTGGGGACTCCAAAATGGCCGCCTCGAAATCTTTGCGCCTATTCACATCGCTGCGGCCCTCCGTCTGCACATCATGCTGGAACACCCCCGCCCCACAATCGCTGCTCCCCGTCCGACAGCTCTCCGTATCAACACCAACCCTCGCAAAGGACTTCATGGACCCCAGCGCCAGCCTGAAGCCAATCGAGAGCAACTTCATGCGAGGGGATAGCAAATTCAGGAACATGATTCCCGCAAAAGACGATGACCCGTTCAATGCCCCCAACCTCACGCGGGGGGAGTGGGAAGAGGACGACCGACACCATCTCCACATTTACGCACACAAGCACAACACACACCTCACGCTCACGAAGCCGGATCGCAATGCGCTGATATCGGTATCCTGCGGGAACATTGGATTCCGGAAAGCTGGCCGCGGCACATATGATGCCGCATATCAGCTTGCGGCCTTCGTCATGAGTCGAATCCAGGACAAGGGATTGTTACCACAAATCAAAAAGCTGGAACTTGTGTTTCGAGGCTTCGGGCCTGGCCGGGAGGCTGTGACAAAAGCAATCTTGGGCAGCGAGGGAAAGAAGATTCGAGGCCTCGTGGTGCGACTGAGTGATCAGACGCGGTTGAAGTTTGGTGGCACGAGGAGCAAGAAGCCGAGGAGGCTGGGCTAAAGGAGTCTGGAGGGGATTGCACTCACGTCGTGGGAACTTTCATATTGCGCGACCCTCACATAGGAGACGCTCGCCGCATGCATGGCGCTGTACAGTAGAGCATTAGCAGGAGTTCGCCCAGGCCGAATGACGTTGACCACGGGACTTGTAAAAAATATATACCACAACTATTATACAGTTCACGGATCCCGGATCATGCAGTGGCACTCGACATAGTCATGTTATTCTCTTGGGCAGTGGAGCTCTCTCAGCCGCAGGCATGTCCCGACTAGAACTGTCCTTGACCGAGACCAACCTAGGTACATCGTCTCGGGAGGAGTATCTCTGAGGGCCCCTTGGGCCTCCCCGACTACCTCCACTGCTGCTACTACTAGATATCCGACCAGCCGCATCTTGCCTCTCCTGCGCCTCCTCGAGCGATCGACGACGCCGTCTTTCATCGTGCCGCAGCATGGACGATCTTTCGTCTTCAAAGTCCTCGTCAAGGAGCTCTCCATCCGCAGTATCATGATCCGGTGGGGCAATCCATTCCCGTGGCACAACGCATGGGAGAGCTACGCCAATGCTAGCGGCGCGATTAAGCCAGGAGGGAGCAGGGCGGCTGGTGAGCTTCTCGCAGAGGTAGGAGGTGAAGTGGTTGCAGTTCTTCGTGAGCAGGTTGTAGGAGGTGCCTTGGAACTGTTCCGAGGCCTACAGAGGTCAGTATTGGATGGGAAGATGTGTATTGCAATTCTCACTTCGTGAATAATGGTCTTGAGTTCCTCTTCTGGGCGGAACGAGAAGCCGTGCAGGAGCTCTTGTCTGAATGTACCACCAGGCGGCTCTTGACCGGGTCTGAGGCGGTCAGTTTAGCCCTTCTCGCCTGGTCCTAGGACGACTTACTTTGTCCAGTAAACACCCGTCAATCTGCGCTGATCGTGGCCGCCGTATGCATATTCTTTGTTGCCAATGACAACGCCGGAATGGAGGAGTGAGCTTCCAATGGCCCAGAGCACTGAGGACACTTTGCCAGGCTGTGCGCATCGTCAGCAAACTGGTTGTGCTAACCGCCTCATGTGCATCTTACAGGTAGTAGGTCGTAGACGTGTATCTTGACCTCTGTCCTCTGCAGCGACAACGTTGATCTGTGGTTTCCGGAGCTCTTCCGTGGGGCTTTTGGCTGCGTTGAGGACGACATGAGGAGACGAACACAGGCTCAGATACGGTGTGAAGAATAGGGAAGCGAAGCGGCCCGGCCTTCACTCGACAAGGATATGATAGAGGGCGTGAGGGGAAAGCAATAATGGAGACATGGTGGAGAGGACCCGCCGTTCCAGGCCGCGTGCGAGGCCCTGAAGTCAGCCAAGGCCGCACGCAGCGCGCTGCCCAAAGCTCTGATCCTCGGGGCATCACGTGCTGGGAGGGGAGCTTAAAAATTCGATCCGACACACTCAAGCCAGAATTCCGACTGCAAGGCCCTGCAGCTGCGCAGCCCCAACCATCCCACCATTCGCACTGAGGAGAGAGGCTCGCTGCAGTCATCTCTCCCGCCTGTTCACCACAACGCACCCCACTCGACCCCTCCATCTCAGCTTCTCTTCTTTGATACCCACTTTTGCCCGCCCGGCAGCAAGGACTGCTTTCGAATTTTCCAACACACCCACATTCCGCCCTTTTCCTTCTCCCACTTTCGGCATCTCCATCACACAGGCCCGCACCTACGCCAAGTCGAAGAAGATGCCTCCCAAGAAAGCCGTCGTCGAGGAGAAGATCCTGCTCGGCAGGCCAGGCAACAACCTGAAGAGCGGTATTGTGAGTGAAGCTGTGCCCGCCGCCAATTGGCAAGTTCTCACGTTAACAGTAGCCGCCAGGTCGGTCTTGCCAACGTCGGAAAGTCGACGCTGTTCCAGGCAATCACCAAGTCGAGTCTTGGCAACCCTGCCGTACGTCGCATCCACAATGCGCGCATGCGCAAGCAAGCTCCTGCTAAACAGCATAGAACTTCCCCTATGCCACCATCGACCCTGAAGAGGCGCGGGTTGTTGTGCCCGATGAGCGCTTCGACTGGCTCGTTGAGCAGTACAAGCCCAAGTCGGTGGTTCCTGCCAACCTGACCATCTACGATATCGCCGGTCTCACACGAGGTGCCTCGACCGGCGCAGGTCTTGGAAACGCTTTCTTGTCGCACATCCGCGCCGTCGATGCCATCTTCCAGGTTGTGCGATGCTTCGACGATGCCGAGATCATCCACGTTGAGGGCGATGTCGACCCCATCCGTGACTTGGACATCATCAGCGAGGAGCTGCGGTTCAAGGACATCGAGTTCGTGGAGAAGGCACTGGAGAAGCTCGTAAAAGAGACTCGCCGGGGCGGACAGAGCTTGGAGATGAAGAAGCTCAAGGAAGAGCAGAGCACAGTGGAGAAGATTCTCGCCATGCTCCAGGATGGCAAAGATGTCCGCAAGGGCAACTGGACACCCAAGGAGGTACGTGCATACTTTTGCTTCTTGCTTCTGCCCAAATGATGACAAAGAGCGACTGCTCTATAATCCCAGCTCTCTGACACCCTGAGTAACGCCGGGGATCCTTGAAGAGACGTCCATTTCTGATTGGCATACGAATTTCTCCCTTGCACGAGATCATGTTGAGTCAAACAGCTCACTGACTTTTACAGGTCGAGGTCATCAACCCTCTCTTCCTTCTCTCCGCAAAGCCTGTCGTCTACCTCGTCAATCTCAGCGAGAAGGATTACATCCGCCAGAAGAACAAGCATCTGCCCAAGATCGCCCAGTGGGTGAAGGAGAACGCTACCGGCGACCCTGTCATTCCTCTATCCGTCTGCCTGGAAGAGCGCTTGGCTGTCATGAGTGAAGAAGAGGCTGCCGAGGAGTGCAAGAAGCTGAGCACAAAGTCCATCCTGCCCAAGGTTATCGTCACCATGCGTAAGGTGCTCAACCTCGGGAGTTTCTTTACCACTGGCACAGACGAGGTTAGACAATGGACAATACGGAATGGAACCAAGGCACCACAGGCTGCTGGTGTTATCCACGGTGATTTCGAAAAGACCTTCATCCAAGCTGTCGTGTACAACTACAAGATCTTGCGAGAGGAGGGCGACGAAGCGGGCGTTAAGGCCAAGGGTAAGATCATGACCAAGGGCAAGGAGTACGTGGTCGAGGATGGCGATATCCTGTTGATCAAGGCTGGTGCTGCGAAGAGCTAGGCGGCTCAGATTAATGTGCAATGATCTTTTCCTTGGTGGTAGCCTTCATGGATCGGGACAGGTGTCGCGAGGATGGGCTTGGCTACTATAGGCATGATATCACCGCATGTAGCATCATATTTGAATGATGAACGATTTCAGAACATCATTGGAGGTGTAAATAAGGTTGTGATCGCGATCACACGTGGCCCAGTTCTCCACGTGCCGCTCCTTCCCATCTCATCGTGCCAGCGTACCATCTCTTCCTGCGTGCCAAGGAATACGACTAGTATCCCTTGATGTGCCACAAAACGCCGTCGGTATCTGTTCACTTTTGACAGACTATGCAGAACTGGGTCTTGGAAAAAGGATAAGAGAAACGCTGTCTATTTACGTATCATGAGCTTACACTACACCGTCTCATGACTTTGAGATGTTTTGTCAGAAGCGAAAAATACCAAAAATTGCAGTAACGGTCACTCAACTATCAGGGAGCATCCAAAGGCAAAAAGAAACTCCCGTGAACCTCCCTAAGGAAGGACGAATATTGATGAGAGTGGGACTCGAACCCACGCCACTGTACGTGACCAGGAATTAATGTCAAGGTAACCTTAACCTGGCGCCATAACCAACTCGGCCATCTCACCTTAATCATGCTCAATAGGAGGCTAAATTAGTATATAAAGAAGTAGAAAATGCGTAGAATGGGTGGAGGAAAATTTGAGAACAGAGTGGGTGAGGTCTGGGGTATGAGGGGCAAATTTCAGCATTTGTGCGGCGGCAATGACTGTTTGTCTGTGTGACGAACCAATCTCCTTCTCGCATTATTAGTCTATCAGAGCTAGCATGACAATCCTCTCACTTTCTTCATGTCATGGTTGACGGGAGGGACATGCTTTGTCAGAAAACGAGCAAGAGAGAAAAAAAAGTCGTGCAACATTATGCTCTTACTTCCGTTGAGTATAATGCACAAGGCTTTTGGCAATACTCTCTTCGTCCTTCCCGACGTTGGTTGGAGGGCAACATGAGATGGATGACTAAGCAAGGGGGGAACTGCCCACTTCACTGTTCTGCAACACAGGATTCTGCCGAGAGACGTCATAGTTCGACTCACTCATCCCTCATCTCCTCCGCTCGAATTCTTCTCCTCAACATTGATTACTTTTGGTCTGTGTACCGCAAATTCGACTCGGAGGTCCCTTCATCCTATCGGGGCGCCGTCTGAGCCGAGGCAATTCGCCAGGCCTGAACAGGGGTCCGAATGCGTCATGACCACCGATACTCACCGCGCGCAAACTCATCTGCCTGTCCTAACAAAATAGTATCTAGTGCGCCGCCGGCATGTACCCAGTCGCAAGGTCGGCCGCTTGGAGGTATGCTAGAGCTAGGGGCAAATTTTCACCGCTCCGGAGGGTGGGAGGTCTACAAGAACGCGTACTTCCCCCAGTATACGGGAGAGCAGGAAGCCTAATATGGTTGGAGAAGAGATCACAGAGTAGTATTTCTGAATGTATGTCATGAATTATCCGTCTTCTCCTTCAAAATCTTGATATAGGCTGTCCGTATTCAATTGTTCGATTTTACTAACAGATTCCAAAGCACAAGCTACCACAACCACAACCACCGCTCAAACGAAAAGCCGACCTCCCAAGGACGAACCCCCTCCACCTCGAAATAAGAGACGCTTCCTCATACGCGCAACCACAACTACCCTCCTCACCCTCCTAGCCTTCTCCCTTGGCTTCGCCATGGCCGCCGCCCCTGCCTACTCAACCGCCCTCGAAGTGGCCAACCCGCCCACAGACGAAGAAACCCTCACCCTCTTCATTCCCACCACCAGAGACATCGCCACCATAGAAACCCAAATCTTCTCCCACCCGCTCACACAATCCCTCCTTGCGGACCCAAAATACATAGCATCGCGCCCCCACCTGAAAATCCCCGAAGCATTGCGCGCCCAGAACTTGACCGGCGGAACCTTGTTAGGACCGGATAAGATCGCTGTTCCACCACTCCAATTCACAACACCAGATGGGAGCAAGTTCATAAGTTTCCAGTGGGTCGGACACGGGCTCTGCGGCCACCCTGGCATCATCCATGGCGGTTTGCTCGCGACCCTTCTCGATGAGGGACTAGCACGGTGCTGTTTCCCTGCTTTGCCGAACAAAGTTGCAGTAACAGCGACGTTGAACGTGCAGTATAAGAAGCCCGCTATGGCGGGGCAGATCTTGATTCTAAGGGCTGAAACGACCAAAGTAGAAGGGAGGAAGGCATGGGTGAAGGGAACGTTGGAAACGCTTGGAGAGGGGATGGAAGGGAGGGGAGTGGTGGTTACGGAGGCGGAGGCGTTGTTCATTGAGCCGAGACAGGCGGCTAGTATGAGGAGAGTTGTCAATTAGGCGGCGGATAGCGTAATTGGTTCACCCCGAGGAGAGGGAGAGGGTGTTATGGCGCATGTTTTGGGTGACAACTAACTATATCAAGATAATGGGGTTTGGTATACTCTGGTTGTGGATAGAATTATAGAAGTGTGGAAGACATTGGAGTTTTACCTTCACCCCAATCCGTCTCCTAATATCTTGGTTAAGAATACCAAAACTGCTAGACTCACCTCCTGGGATTGCATGCATGCAGGGGAGGTGAAGGCATACCAAGCGTTTACCTTGAAGAGTAATTTCGAGTTCGCACTTGCCAGTTGCGATCAAAGGTTGCACCAACCAACGATATTGGACTGGTTGGATGCACCCGAGAATAGAAAGAAGCCTTTCTTTCCAAAGAGTGCTATCCGGGTGGGAGGGGAGGAATATTGGAGTGAGGTTGGCTTCTGTAACTGCATTCAGCGCTTTTACCTCTAACGGAACACAATGAGAGACACAACACTATGCTGTAAGTCTATGATACGTAAAAAGACATGCTTTTACATATCCTTTGTCCTACAACTCAAGACTGCATATCTCATCAGAGGCGTAAAGGTCCTGTGGGAATGCTCATGGGATGAGATGGTGAAATTGATGGAATCCTGGAGGCATCGGCGCCATTACGGAATGATGCATGTTTACACTATTTAATCATTACTCTTTGACACCGTCACTGGAATACTCCAGAGTATTTATTCATAGCGGAGAGGGTAGATTTAGAAATATTACGCTCAGTATCTGCCAGGAAAGTAGGAAATGATTCCTAGCAACCTTATACCCTCGAGGGGATGGAATGGAGCAGGTCAAACGTGACAGTTCAGGATGCATCCTTCGCACCATGGAATTCAACTAACCTACATGCCATGTGAGTTCCTTCTAGGGATCATCCCATCGCTGGAAATTCGGAGAGAAAATTGGACCCTTTCCTGCTACTGCAAGCTCTGGATGCGCGATCAGACCTCCATTATTGTAAACATCCTGGCTGTGCCTCGTCTGAACTACTTCAAAATCGGGTCAATCTATCTTATGATCCCCATGGACAATGTAGCTTCCTTGTCTTTAACTGTAATGCAAGTGGAGTTGAAATCACCTGTCTGAACACACGGAGGGCATTTGCGGAGTCGCTTGTCGTCCGGCCTTCCGAGATCCGACAAGGTCGCTAAACCCAAGTAGGGAAGAGAGTGAATGAACCGCCCCCAAACACCAATCCTCGAAAGCGAGGCTTTCGGAGGATCGAGGGAACCACTAGCGTTGGTCTGTGGACGTGTTTCAGAAGCCTTTGGAGCCGCTGTACCATAGTGTGGGATCCAACGTGGAGTCGGTGAGTATGACGCGATTGACGTGTGCGGCACAGGGAAGTTCACCATCGTGTTGCTTGTTAGACTTCATCCTTTCAACACCAGAGCCTTTGGCCCTCAATCGAAGTTGAGGCCAGCCCCCGCCATGCCTGTGTGAATCATCCGCATACTGACGCCGATTAATGCGATGGGACGTCTTACAACCTTGATATAGGCGCCCACGTCGTCCCCTGTGTGATCCAGATCTTCAAGACTTCAATCACACAGCACTACTGCTTCACCATGGGTAGTTCGGTAAACGAACGGCCCCAAATTCAGAAATTTTGTATCATCAACTTACAAAACTTAAAGCTCTGAATCGAAGCACAGCCTCAAGACGGCACCCGCCTCAACCACCCGTGGACTACTCATCTCGCGTCTCTTAGCGCAGGTGGCGGAGCCTGGTCACCCCATGCCTCGGTATGGCTTCCGCGCGGTCGTTATTTTGCTCCAACGAGAGCTCGTAATATTGAACAAGCAGAGCAGTTGTTGGCGAAGGCAGCCACCATTGTCCTCATGATGCTGCCCACGTTTCACGAGCTGAACAGCAACCATGCAGCATCCTCAGCCGTGCATCTGTGAGCAGCAAACCTCAGAGATGTGGCTCCCACGCGTGTATGAAGCCGCACAGTTATTGGTTCCAGATCCATCTCTTCTTGGGCACGGTTGGATCCTTGGCTTCTGAGTGGATGTCTTGGACCACGTCTCTGCCACCGCCTCCTATGGGGCGGCACTCCATCGTATTCCCCTAGGACCGTAGTCAGGTTCTTTGTGTGGCTTTCTCTTCTTCGATTCGTCAACTGTGCCTGAATACTAACAAAATGCTCCCATATCCCACACCGCCGAGGTCGGCCGGCGAAAGGCGTGAGTCGAAGCGCGAGCATCCTCAAAATCTCCACAGACGGTGAGGCTGAGTTGGCCAACTGGGTCCACGGGAAACAGGACGCTGGACGCCTACGATTCTAAATCCATACACAGACCATCACTGTGGTCATAGCTCATGTTTGGTCTCATCGCGGCTCTTGTATACTTATTCCGCCTGATGCCCAGGCACCATTCTCAGTGTTTCCTTGAAGCTTCAAGTTTGCCTATTTCTCAGTCAGAAGTGTGCCCCTGGAATGGTCCAAAGGTTTCAGCTGCGTATTGCATAATTATTTATTCGTATTCCTTAATCCCACCATCTCAGCCTCCTTCTGGCTTGATATACTTTGGAACCTCTCCACTCAACTCAGCCTTTCGACACGAGAAAACTCCAACAACTCTTCCTCTAGCAAGTTCTACCGTCAACCAAAATGGCTCCTACGCCAGCCAACGGCAACGAGAACAGCCTCAAGGCTACTGACGCCCCAAAACCCAGCAATGGCAAAATGACTACTCCTACCATTGTCTCCCTCTCGATCTTTTGCTTCTTCTTGGTTGCCATCACTATTACCGTGGTAGGCTTCTGGTTCCACAGACGCGCAGAACGCAACAAACTCCCACCAGAGCATCGCCCAGCCTCATACCATCCTTTCCGAACCAACTCCTCCCCTAAGAGCGGACTGCTCGCCAATGCCGCCCCAGCACCGGAACGCAGCGACGACAAAGCCAGCATGTTCAGCAGAGAACGTTCACGCTCAAACGTCTCCTTGTATGTCGACACAGCTCACATCGACCGGCGGGAGAGCATGGAAACCGTCTCATTAATCCCTCTTACAATCACTCCTGCTGAGGAGGTCCACAATCCGATGCACAGACCAATGACAGAAAGCTATGGCAGCAGTGTGAGCAGTAGCAAGTACAGCGTCTCATCAGGGGGAAGCATGGGCCTGAGCGCAATTCCAGTGCCAGAGGAACAAGATATGGGTATGAGGAAAACGAGAACCAGAAGTACAAGCACGCTGAGCGCACGAT